AACGGACGGGGTTGCGTGCCGTGCTGTCGTGCGGACTGGCGGGCGGCGCGGGCGGCGGACTGCTCAGCATGCTGTACAACATGGCGGCCGTGCCGGGCGGGCTGGTGTCAGAGCCGGGCTACTACGCGCCCTACCCGCAACCGCCGCTGCTGGCGAAGCTGGGCGGAGAGCCGGCGCCGGCCCACAAGGAACCGGACGCCGTGAAGCTCTTCATCGGCCAGATCCCGCGCCATCTGGAGGAGCGCGACCTGCGGCCCATGTTCGAGGAGTTCGGCAGCATCTACGAGCTGACCGTGCTCAAGGACAAATTCACCGGCATGCATAAAGGTCAGTGCGCGGCGGCCGGTCGGCTGACCTGTTGACGCCGCCGGCGAATCTTCGGTCCGCCTGGGAAAGAGGGTCGGGAGGAGGGGGCGTTCCGTCGCCGCAGCGCCCGCATCACCGTCAGCCCCTGCGTTTCACATATCGGCTGATCGGACAGTGGGCATTGTGCGTTAGCGGCGGCCGCAAATTGGCCTAGCGGTGGTCGTGCCTGGCACCGGAGCGTTGGCCATGTGGCGGCCCCGTGCGCTGACGGAAAGGCTCGTTTGGCTGATTGTCCTTTCGCACGCTCGCGGCCTTTGGGCGGGCCGGGCGCGCGTGAGTCGGTGACGCGACTGCCGCCGCGGCGCCGCCGCTCGCCGGCCCGTGCGGGCCTGTGAGGGGTCAGCTGGCATGACTTAGCCTCATTAGCGGCGCAGAGCCGCTGTTTGGGCAGCGTCCGACCAGAGGCTGTCATTCGAGCCGCACGTCAATGTGACCAAAGTTTCCGGAGTGGGGTTGGTAGGGTTCGGGCTTCCTCGAAAGAGGATGATAGCTGGAGGTGTGGGGTCACGAGGTTAAAAGACCGAGTCTGTTCAGCCGGTGTGCGACGATTGTGGCAGTCATAATTAGGCAGACTTTCTTCCGTAGAAAGTTAAGACCTCAAAGCGTCGATCCCGGGAACTAGGCTGACAATTATTGAGACTTCCCCGAAAACTATCCAGACTCGAGACGCATCTGCTCGTCTGCCAGTGACCGCCACACGAAGGCCTGACACTGAAAGGAGAGGAAGCATCGGGACAGAAAACTTACAGGATAGTGTATGCGCCGACGGCCCATATTGTGCTGTACTTTGCTCGTCCTCAGAATTATTAAAGTTCACGTCCACGGCCGTCTGTTGCTGTCGTACCCAGCTCCTCTAACGCGAAAGGCAGGAGACAGAAGAATGGATGATGGGTGGCGCGTGGCTGTTATAATATCGCGAACGTCCCGGTGCATTTATCTAGCTGGGAAACGGTTGCAATGAAATAAGATCCATGGCAGAAGACAGGGACATATATCAGTTTCATGGCCTCCCGTCACCAACATCATCCCTGGGCAACAGAATCATCTCTGGCATTTAAATGTGCAACAACGGAAAATGTTCCGTTGCTGCATAACGGAGCATTCGCCATGACTTAATAACAACGGACTCGACGCTCGCATTAGATTGTGCCACTGACGGGTGGAACTCGCCGTGTCTTGCAGGGGTTTGTGTCCCCTCTTCCCAGCGTTTCTGATTTTTGACATGCATTCCATGGCTGTTGTTGATAAACAGTTAAACTTCACCACCACTTGCCTTCAACGATTTTGAATAAAAATCTTCACCCCTGGTATGTCGTTGGACGAGGATTTGCGACGTGTACCTAGAGCCAAGAGAACGGCACCATATTATTCCGTACCTCGCGACGACAAACAGGCGCGTCCGCCTCCCTCTTCTGGCTGCTGACGCTCTCCACCGCGGGGCGCGCATCGGTCTGACAGCGGCGGCAGCGGGTAATGAGCTGCGACGGAGACCTCAGGGTGGCTGCACTCAGGGCTCCCTGGAGTCGTTCCAAGGGAGCCTCGCTGCGCTCTTGTCCCGGGCATGCTCAGACTGGCGAGCCACTGGTGCCGGCCGAAGTCGCGCGTTCCGAGGGCTTCTGGGCTCCTCTGGGTAGTGGGTCTTGGGGAGAGGGTCACTGTTTTCCCGACGTTCCGGCCGTTCCAGATCCCTTGACCGAAACAACGCAGTTTGCGAAATAACTGAATCCGAAGTTTTCAGTCATTACTTGCTGTAACATAGTAAACAACAGACAACGACATCATGTGTGATGAAGCGTGTAGAGCTGACGAACCGGATGCCGCCTCCCCTTCTCCCAATGTCTTCTCCTAGAATGGCTTTGTTTTGGTGCCAGAGCAGCGCAGCCGGGCACCAACCAGTCCGTGACCTGAGTCATTTTGCAGGCGGTCCCCCGGTGTTTGAGATCCCTGCAGAAAGCAGATGAAGTTGATGGCATCATTGTCTGCTGATTGTGATCTCAGTGCAGTGTCTTGTGCTGCCCGATGCATTCATGGACACTTCATAGTATGACTGTAAAATGCTACCAGCACAACGCCTGCCGGATGAGGAAACATCCCACCGTTTGTTGACAAGCTTTCCGTGCAACCAAGGCGGTTCTGATTATGTTGCCATACCACGCCCAGTTGTCGTTTCCTTTGCAAGAGCCAGTGATGGCTGTCTACCCCCCCCCCCCCCCCTATGACGTTACGCAGGACTGTGGCCCCTTCCGCACGCACTCTGCATAGAGCCGCACGCCTCCCCGTCACGAATCTGCGAGGCACCGACCTGCAAACGGCCTGTTTACGAGCCTGCGGGACGGACCGACCGCACGGCATCAGGCGGGGCCCCGCGCGTGACCTCACGCCGTTCTCCTGCTCGGGCGCCGGACCGGTCTGCGTGGCGCCAGCCGCTCTCCGCGCGGCGACGCTCTCCGCGGCGCTCTGTGAGTCACACGAGTGGCGCGCAGCAAGGGAGGGGGCAATGACCTGTGCGCTCCCCTTTATTGTCTGCCCGGCTTTCACCGGGCAGGCTCCCTCCCTTGCCGTTTCCCCTCGGCGCAGCGGGGAGAAAATTGAGTCGGAGGGGACAGCTCGGTCTGGCTCCGGAGGGCAGCCCGACTGCGCTGACTTCTCCGCGTCGGATGCAGCAGCTGGGTCCGTCGGAGGTCCCAGCGTGCACGTTGGCTGCCCTTGAAAGGGCCCCTCTCATCGCCAATCTTTTTACTGCACATCGTTCACGCGGTGCAGTAAAAACAACAACAGTGCTTGTCTGTCTGTTTACTGCGCTTTGCATGCACTTGGTCCGCTTTTAGATCAAAGTCTCGGAGATTGGCCTGATTCAGCGTCAGCGAATCGCCCGCGCCGGCCGTGGGCATTAAGCGAGGCCATGTCGCATGAAATCCGAATCTGTCGGCCCGGATTAGCCGATGCCAGCTCTGAGAAAACGTCAGCCCGGGCTCGCCTACCAAGTTAAGCCATCAGGACCTCGCAACAGGACATTCCACTGTGAAGGAGCTGAAGGAGCTGCCTGTGTCAGAAGCAGACAAAACTCTTCACCGTGTCACCAACAACGAACTTGTCTTGTACTTTGTTGTTCGCGGTCGCTGAGTATAATGTTTTGAGCGTCTGATAACGCACCAGTTTACCGCTAAGTTTGCCTCCCGTACTAACCGAGTACGTTAATCGAATACGTGATGTGTGCGTCGACCTATGCGTGTTACAGCGTGCTACTCGCTGGCAAATGTCACCTATCCCATATTGGATTGCCTGAGGCTGCCCCCGAGTGCGTATGGGCCATGCAATCAGCTGGCGTGTTGGTCCAGTCCGCTGAGCAAACAAGATGGCCGCCCTGTTTGGTCAGCCTGTTTGCGGGCCATTGGACCTATCCGCCATCTATTAATGCGTCATCATTCCAGCGACCGATTTCATTATGGCTGCGACATGATCGATGATCCACATGGGGAACATTTTTTCCTTTTCTCTCACTCTCTCTTCTTGCCGAAGGCAGCGTGGGCATGTGATCGCATTCGCCAAAACGACGGAGGAAGCCTGCAATGTTATTTGTAGGACGGGCATATTTAGTCGGCCATTTCCTCTTTTGATATTTCTTGTTACCGATAATGCCAGGAATAACTGAACGAAGAGCTTTGTGAGATTTCCCCGCCTTTATCCTCCCTTCTTCACGTTTATTTATATTACATATTATGCAAGGAAATCTGTATTGCGCAACCCCTTTAAAAATAGAACGTGACGCTCGTCGCCGCGCACCCTGGTATGGAGCGCCAACAACCGCAGACGCCATATTAACCCTGGTATGGAGCGCCAGCAACCGCAGACGCCATATTAACGCTCAGGGGCCAACATGCAACCGGGATAGGGACCCGGCCCCCCTACGTAGGTGCCTAAGACGCTAACGACTCGTCCATTACGCCCATTAACCACTCGGCCATTGCGCAGCGTCTCATTTGTATCGCGACAAATAAAGGATCAGACAGGTGCTATTTTATTTCATTAGTTTAGCCCTTTTCGTCCCATTTGGGACGTTGAAGAGCTTGGGAACGAGACGGGAGGTTTAGAGTGGCATCGTAACATCTCATCAGCTTTCGGTACCTTAGACCCCGAGTATAAGCGTAAAGGGAACGTTCCGTTTTGAAGGTATCGTTCTATCCACCGGGTAGACTAACACCTTAGCGAGCCTCCGCCAGTGGTGAGCTGCAGTGAGATACCGTGTGTGTATGAAGGGGGGGGGGGGGGAGCTGGCTTACACCGTACTGGTACAAGAATAGATGACTTTTGCATTTCGGGATAGCAGACGGTCTGTGCAAAGTATTTTAAATTCGACCTGATATATCGTATGTGGTACGCATTTGTCGACTTGTGTGTTATTTCGCATGTGCGGAATCGATTCCACCTCCGAATGCTGTTTGTGGGGCTGGCTCTAACTCTGTCTCAAAAGCAGGGCAGCACATTTTGAAATCTACTCTGATTTTAAATCAGTTATGTTAGCTCAATCCCCAAGTCGATTTTGATTGGAGCGATTCCAGCAACAACTTCATACATACGCCATGTGTGTGCAATATCAACAGATGCCGCACACATGACAGAAATGCCTACCTGAAATCCTTGTGCTTGATTCAACTCATCGATGGTCACAGGTAACACAACCTGCCCGGCTTTAGGCTCCATCCCACTCTAGTTTGTCAGAAAATCGATTCCACTTTATCTCGTCAAACATTAAGCTGATTCTAAAACCGATTTCTGCGTCGTTCGGAGCCAAGCACAGGTCTGCTGCTTGCGAACAGATGGCGAACATGATGCATTCGTTCTGTTATCTTTCCGGGTCCTTCATCCGATGAATGCTCGACTGCACCTGCGCCCAATGGCTCGCACAATCGTATTCCAGTGCGTATTCGTCTTGTCTGCCTTTACCACGTCCATGCTTTCCTGGTATCCTGTCGGCCGGCGGAAGGTGGACAGCGTC